TGATTGCTAAAAGTTAATTGTAGTTCATTTTCTAATGAAGTCAATCAGAACCTGTGAAAATAAAGAAATTGATAAATTTTTTTTTTAGATAAATAGGATTAACAGTGATTACAATCATTGAATAAATGTCAATAGGAAAGTTCACAAGCGTATTATTTTAGTCATAATTGCTCATGACGAATTTAAAAACGTGGGTTTTGTATTTCTTACATAAACATACCTTTTTTATAGAAAATGTATTTCGTGAAAGGCATCATTAAAGCGATTTATTCACAGAAATATTCGTTCAAAAGACATTTAACGTATCATCATATAATTCACACAACTCATCATGCATCTGTTTTCTCTCAAATGTGATGGATAAGAAGTTCATTATCATGTTAAGGGAGTCCCATATGGGTCTTGATCTAGGAAATGACCTTCTGAGACTTATTATCCATTAAGCCTCAGAAGGTCATTTTCTAGGAACTCAGTATTTTAGGTTATTTGTTATATATATTGTATATAGTATAAGTTATACTTAAAAGTAAATAAATAATACAAAAAGAAATTGGAAGTAAATAGAAAATTTACCTTTGGTGTTGATACTTCCAGTACTCAGGAAGTTGAAAGAAGTAATTTTTTTGTAATAAGGTTTGTATTTTATGATGTAAAGTCACATGATGATTTTGACCAGCTAATTTTGTTAATAATTAACGACGAAAATTTATTTGTTTTTCTATTTATCTAATTTATTAGAAGCATGAGAATAAGATCCACTTTGATACAAAGATGTATTCAAAATTCATTCAAATTTTATTATCAATATAATGGAATAGTGCAAATTATAAATAAGATTTATTAAATAAATATAAAAAACAAATGTATATTGCAAAGTAATCGTAAATTTAATATTTAATTTATTACTAGATAACTTACAATTCTATCGCTTTCCAAGCACGCAATCAAATGTTGTCGTTGAAAAATAAAAATTATCAATCATTTTAAAATTCATCCAAGATAATATCTTGCAGTTAAAAAAAAAAATTTAAGTGAAAATAAAAATACATCAACAATAATAATTTATTTTTTTATTATTTCTGGTTACAGCAATCAAATATTTGAATGTAAATTTAACTAAATTTAACCGTGTACTTACGACGAACCGATAGAAAAACCCGAAAGCAATGAAGAATAATAACAAAGAAAATTTATTTAGGTAATATATTTATTACAGTTTACGCACGTGATCACATATTTTATCAGTCACCATAAGATTATTTTTTGAAATGTTCAATTGATCACATCGGCAGTATTGGGCTAGTCGTCGGGATGATGTGACAGCATGGGTAAGGGGTGGGAAGCGCGTTTGCGGATTGACTCCTAGTCTAGTCGAAGTGAAGTCAAAAAAAAATTTTTTTTTACGTAATATATATCACGTGACATTATATAGCATTACGTAACTGGGTGATACAATAAAATCAACGAAATATTATTGGACAAAATTAATTGACTACGTGGTGTAACAATTATCTTAGAAAAAAAATTCTCGCGATATTTTTTCAAAAAAAAGATAATAAAACACAAATGTCTTTATTTTATTTATTAATATGCTTCAAATTGTATTATAACTTGTTTTATTTAATATTTCTGATATTAAATTAATAAATTTCGGTTCTGGTTCCATTTTTAATAATTGTTAAAAGTAGTTCCAAACTCAGGAGATTCAGAATCTAAAATCGATTCCAGAACCGACTCGAGTCGACTCATTTTGAGCCGATAGTATCCTTAGTGGATCCATTCTTTGGCTTTAATAATTTCATTATAAAGGATGTAATCGAGACGAAATCACTTTTCTTTTAATGCATAATATATGTAGATTTCAAATTTACGGACAAACTGGAAGGAAGTTTGGAACAAGTTTTAAGGTTTCTAATATTAACATTGAAATATAAAGAGTGATAAACCCACTGCCTCAATCTAATGAGATCTGTTGAAAGGTTCTGTAAAAAAAAACTCAGTCAATTACATTATATTAGATATTATATTTCATAAATTGCGGGATATTGATATTCGCACTTGGAACATATGGGGCCTTTGCAATAGAAAGGGGGGAAACAGCCGGAAAAATCAAAAATGAGTTAATGCTAAATTTAAACATATTTCAGCATAAAAATCATATTTGGCATATAAAGTAAAATTAATTTTTCCCGGCAGTTTCCCCCTTTCTATTGCAAAGGCCCCATATAACCTATGAAAGTTTCTAAAACATCCAATTAAAATTGCCGAAGTTTTAGATGTTTATAGTGTATCCTCGTTTTTGAAATCATAATCACAGTAGATAAAGATGGACTTAAACATACAGTCGCTTATATTTATGATTCCACTGCCACATATAAATAATTACACTATGAACATGAAGCAATATTTTCAAACATGAAATTTATACAGGTCGTATAAGCATTGCATTTGATTGGTTGATTTGTCATTAACTGTGTATACTATAGATAAAATGTATAAAAAATATAATGTCACTTCCGCAGTTATAGAATTTGACTGATAAAATAAAGGTTATTGTTTAATAAGCAAAGAGAATAATTGGTTCGAGTTAATGTTACTGAAACACATTGAAGGTGTCGAAGTTTCGAAATTAAAATCGAAAACCATTCAACTTCGCCCATCTCTAAATCTGAAAAAAAAAGATAGATATTATGCTTAATTGTATTATTTTTTCTTCACGTATAACAATAGTTTCATGATATTAGATTGGTATTATGGCTTAAACTATTATATTTTTAAGAACATTGGTTCCAAAGTAAGGTTGCATAGCAAATTCCTGAGGTTTCTGCTGTGGCAAAAATTGAAATTAATTCTGACGTTTTGTCAAAATATTTTTTTTAAAGGCAAAACCAAGAAAGTTTCGACAGTTGGCAAAAGTTTCGATGAAAATTTTCTTGAAAAAAAATTCTTAAATCTAGAAACTCTAATACTAACATGTTTAGAACTATTATAAATTTTTTTTTGAATTTATCACAAATGTCAAATTTTTTGAAACCAACGAAACCAACGAAATCGAAACCGTCGAAAACCGACTTTTTCCAAAATGGGATATATCCAGCGTTACACTGGAATTGTACTGAAAATAACGGTAACAGACAAACAATACAAAATCCAGGAAGGAATATATCAACAAATAACGATTTTATATTCATTGTGTAGTTATGAAGGCAGGAGGAAAGTTTGAAAGTATAATATAGTATTTTTATTTTAACAACAGAGCCTTTAAGTCTATCATCAAGACTTATTATTACAAGCGGATTGTACATTTTTATTTCATCAAATTTTTCAATTTTTCACTACAATTAACCGCAGTAATGATATAGTTTTGGAAATTTTATGTTTTCGCGGCTTAAATTTATAAGAATCCTAAATTCTTTAAAAATCCTGAATGAAACCTTTTACCAATTGGTTCTTGATTACCTTTTTAAAAAAGTTTTTCGCGAATTTTGAATGAGGTGTTGTGAAACATAGATAGATAGTTCGTTTGTTATGTTTCAAATGATTATCTGATTTTGTGTAACTAATCTGAAACAATAGTAAAAATATTCAATTGTTTGATGAATGTACGTCTCTGTTGCAACACTATTGTTATATGAATCGCTTTTTCAAAAAAAATCTCTTTTTTCTAATTTTTTTTTTAAAAAAAAAAAATTAAATTAAAAATTACTCTGCTTATTGTATAAATATAATTTGTAAATATTTGGAAGGTGAGTTTTCACATTCTTTTGGTGTGAAGCTTCTGTTTGAATTTTATGGAGAAAAAAATGCTAAAATTTTAATTTATCTTTCTATTAAACCAAAAGCAATTCTTTAAAACACCCATATAATTAAAAAACTCCCTAAATATCAATATCGAAAAATCTTTAGAAAAATTAATAAATCAAAATACGAGAATCATAACGATACAATATGGTGATAACACGGAAAATATTTAAATTGTTAATGAATCAAAAGTTTTTTTTTGATTCAATTAACGCTCTATTTGCGAAAAAAAACTATCGATTGTTAGTATTACCTTTTATTTAAAATATTTTTATCTTCTTTTCATATTCTTATCTATTTTTCATTATTTATCTAATTTCTTTTACATATAGTAAGCAGATTTTGAAGAAATTTCTATATTCGCGTCAGGAATGTGGAATTCGAGATAAAAAATTATTATACAATGTTATCAAAAATTGGCATTAATTAAAGATGAAATCTCGAACGATTCAACTCATGTAGGCGTTTCTTCATCTGAATTATATTAAATAAATTTCCTATTATACCACTTGTAAAATGTCAATTAATGTAATAAAATCACGTTACGGATCATATGATTTACAATGTTTCGCCGTCTTTTGTATTTTTTAATGAAATCAACCTATAAAATATTTTTTTACTTACAAGAAAAACTGTTCTAGCAGAAATTTAAATTACAGGACTAAAAGTTTAATAGTATACATATTTGTTTGTTAATAATCTTTTTAAAATATTTAATTTTATATTTTAAATCATTTTAATTTTACGGTTTTAACGGTTTTAACGCTTTATAAATAATTCTCATAATCAAAGCTTCAATTCCGTGGCACACTCTTAATTCAATTCAAATATGCATCTTGATTCATTCTTCTTGTAAGAGAGAAAATTGCAATAAAAAAAAAATTTTTTTAGTGAGTAGATGAAATAGCCCAATTACATGTATATTCCGATAAAATTTTGTATTGTATTCTGTGCCTCAAGTATTGTTATCAATTTATCACGAGACGAGACTAAGAAACATTTTTAAATTCTTATCATGTCCTAAAATTTTCGAGCAAAAATTATAATTTTACTAATAAAAAATCCACCAAAAATAATTAATAAATAAACTAATTCAAGATTCAAAAGCTTCGAATTTCGATATTTCGAAACCATAAGTGTTGGCAAGTTCATTAGATATTTACATTTAATTTAAATTTTTTTTTGTTTTTAAATCAAAGCTACAATAATAAATATATTAATTTCGTAAATTGTCTACGAAAAAGTTATTTATTATCAAATTTAAATATTAAGCCCTTTGACGGTAAGAAATCGATAATTTTCTTTCTTTTTTTTAAAAAAAAAAAAAAAAAAAATTCATATACGGTTCTTCAAAAGTTTATTAATAAATGATTTCTTTCGCTTGTAACATCGTTTATTATATTATATTAAACTTTTTATTGAATAGGAAAAAGAAATAATAAAAATGGTCAACATTATTAATTATTTAATTCATAATGAATTGAGTGGCCTTTTCATAATTATCTAAAGCGTTCTTCGCATTAGACCAAGAAATCAGCATTGATTGTATGGTAAGATCATTTAATTGCACATTTACTTTTCTCGCATTCGCAATAAATCCTTGCGTGGCCATCACGTGATCAAACTGCCTACTCCAAAAAGTTTCAAATAATCCCACACCATCATTGAACACCTTAATATCATCTATGACACCATCAATATATACAGTGGATTTCTTTAAATGTTCAAGTTGTTGTCCTTTAAATCCAGCTTCTTGATTAAGTTTAAAACTCATCTTATTGCCAAAATACCAACCCAACAATCCTCCTGTGAAAATCGTGGCGAACAAAGTTAAACCACAATCAAAGTGAGGCACCATGATAAATGTCGTGGCATTTGATAAACTTCCAATACCGAATCCTGCAACTATACCAGATTTTATAGCGTCCAACTTCTCATTTCTTGCATGATATCTTAAATTCTCAATTGATTGTACAAGTGAATCCTTTTCGCTTTGTATCGTAGACTTGTGAGATTGAATATTAGTTGAAATCTTTTGTAAAGAAATTTGAATATCACCATAACCACTCCTAATTAAGTCACATTCTTTTAACAATTCAGCGATCGTTAAATCTAATTTTATAATATTTAAAGAGTTCACTTTTAAATCAGAATTTTTGAATTTTTCGAACGTTTGAATTATGTCTGAAGTAGATGTTGAAATTGTTCCTTGATATCGCGTTAAACTTGCTTTTGATAATGTACGAAATATACGTCCTTGAATCCCTATTTCTCCTACTAACCTTGAAATGATTTCATCTTTTATTGTGGAAGCTGGATAATTCGCAAACCTTTCAAGCGTAGATTCGAGTCCGTTTAATTCAAGATTTGTGGGAAAAGCGAAATTCCAAAGAGTTGGAATCATTGTTGTGAAAATTTCGAAAGGTGATTTTTTAATGAGTTTTTTGAATCAAAAGGGTGAAAAAAGTATCGACAACGTATGGAGGTTTGAAAGGATTTCAAATCTATAAATATAGAGGATAATGACCGTGGTTAAAAAAAAAAGCTTGACTTTCTGTGGGCCTACGACTTTTTTTTTTATATTGAGCCTTTTTTGAAGAATGAAATTTTAAGAGCGTGGTTATGCCACACTTACCTGAGACTTTTATATCTCGATGATATGCATATTTGTTTAGTTTAGAATTTGTAATACGTATTTCCCGATTTGTATAATAAACAACGATCTACGTACCTTTACTTAATTCGGCCGAAAGTTTACTCAAAGTAATAAAGCAAAAAGAAGACAAATGGTTTTATTTTTTTTTTTGAAACATCAGGTTATATCATTGTTTCAACCTTGAATTACCAGATTTAAACAAGTTCAATAGATTTAGTGACCTTTCAATAAACTTTCCAAACCACGTTAAGACAAAACAAACAAACGGGTTGAATTTTAAAGGCGCAGTAAATATTTTATTTTGGTATAGTCGGTTATTTTTTGAAAATAATATCGATCATTATATTCACGAAAATGATAGTTTTATAAATGGAAAATTCTGTATACAAAATAAATCTCGGAATACTCGTTCTACGCCCGATTGCTATTATAGGCGCCATCCGATCGATAATTTTATGATTTATTTAAATTGGAGATGAAAGAAATTAAATTATTTTCTCTGAATTCCCTTTTATGTTTTATATTATTTTAATTTATGATGATTCTTATGCTTCTTGTACAATTATTTTATTTAAAGTTTTCGTCTCTTCTTTATGTTTTTTTATTCTTAAACCTTTTTTTTTTAATTTTGGGTTATTCGTAAAAGAAAATGAGGAATTTGGATATAGCATTTTGATTTATCTTTATCACGTGAATCAATATTAATATAAAGTGAAATGGCCGAGTAGTTAAAACCATCCCATTTTTAAAACTTAACTTTGGAGTACTCTTTTCTTACATTTAACTGATCTAATCTCAGCGAATTAAAAACCAATATTAAAATTCTTGACACTCCATCTCTCCAAAGATTGTAAATGATGATATAATTTTAAGTAAATTGCTAAAAATTTTAATTTGAAAATACTTCTTTTTCTTTATACATATACAATAAATTTTTTTTTATTAGTGAAGTTTTCCCGGTTATTATGTTAGAACACCAATTAGGGAACAGAAATCTTTAAAACCGATTCACTAGGTCTTTTCTTTGTCGATTTAAAGCCAATATGTATACACAAGAACAAATATTCTACGAAAAAAAAATGTACAACCAGTGAAACCGGAAGAAATTATATTACACCAAATAACTTCTTAAATTACTTCCTTGGAAAAATTTCGATAAATCTTCTATTTTTGTTCCTACATTTTGTCTTATTCTAAATGGAACCTTCCCCTCCCTTCCCACGAAATGTCTTTTATTGCATTATATGTTGAAGTTATTAAAACTGTTTCCCGTTAGAGTTACTGTCGTCATCCCTATACAAAATTTTTTGCCTGAATAATTCCATTGGCTTCTGTAAACATTCCGCTAAACATGAGCCCTTAACGGAAAAAACAAAACACGGATCAACTTTTTTATAGGCGCAGAGGAGTCTCTTTTCTAAATGAATTGATGATTTTGCTAGTTCTATGTGTTTCCCCATTGTAATGAGGCAAAGATCCATCTTTTTTTTTCATATACGATAAAACTTTACTTAGAACATTGCCTAGATTGAAGCATGAAATATTTGAAACCTTAAGATTTGCTGATCTAAAGTACATTTAAAAGAAACATAAATAAATAACCACGTTACAAAGATCATGCCGCATTATTTCCTATAAGCGACCTGAGTTTTATGTAAGGCGTAGACCACTTCGCGGCAATAAATTCTCGTTAAAATCGAATTATTAACAAACTCGCTCAAAGGATAAATCCAGGGGATTACTACAAGTGTATGTAACAACATAACTCTCTTACTCAAGGATTTTGGCGCAAGTAAAAATCTCCAGAAAAATGAACCTATGTACATTTAAAAACAATAGAAATCTAAATAATGTTAGCAAAGATCGTGCCGACTCATTTCATAAAAGCGCCATGTAATTGAGTTTTATGTTAAGCGTCGACCGCAACACTTCGAAGCAATATGAACCGTTATACTCACACAAAGGACAAATCCAGGGCTTGCTAAAAATTCATGTAACACTTACATACCTTTTCACCAAGGGGCATTTAGCATATTAAACATCAAAAAAGTAAAACTAAATACACTCATAATTCGTTTGCGACGACCTTCATACGCTATAAATTTTAGTTATTAACTTGGACGTAAAAAAAAACTCGTCAATAAAAAGAAATTCTTTAGGGGTATTTATATTAGAAAGACAAAATCCCAAAAAGGAAATTAAAAAGGTGGCATTGTTCGTTAAACGGAGGTTTTAACGAAAATGATGTTTCTTAATCATCGCCCTAAAATTTATTGTGATTGGTTAATTTTTCCAGATCACGTGAATTAAAATTATTATTAGAAAACATGTATGTTTTACAAATATTTAAGATATCCTACTCAACTTTACTTAAACTCTTGAATCAATAGTCCAATTGCATTTTTAAAAATAAAAATCAAAATATATCTTAGTATTATCATAAAAAAATAAAAAGCTTTATAATCATTCAAGCCAACCTTATGAAATTAATATATAAAAATTTTTATATTTGTTAAACAATTTTACATAAGCTTATTTTGCTCGATTTCTTTGATAAAAGTATTTTAATTACACTTTGAAAATATAAAAAAAAATCAAAATGTATTGAGTATTATTACAAAAAATAAAATAATAAACTCGATAATCATTTAAACTAACTCATTAAAATTAATATATAATAATTTCAATACTTTTAAGAACTTTACTATAAGCTAGTATACAGTAATGACCTGGTTATTTGATTATTTAAATGATTTATCTATTCTTTTGTTATAATCATAAATCATAAATCATTTAGCATTTGTCATTTCGAAAATAATCTAAATGATAAATGATAAATGATCAAGATCATTTAAGATCATTCAAGATCATTTATTATTTATCATTTAGTCATTTGCTTTTACAAAAAATACTATTAGAAAATCACAAATTCTCTAGAGTATTTGTGATTCTTTAAGCGTTTCATAATTTTACAATAAAAAATTATTACAAAGAAACGATTAAATTATTATTTTGATAGAATAATAGAAAATCATTCTAAAGAAATAATTGAAACTATCATTTTGATAGAACAATAAAAAATCATTCTAAAGAAATAATTAAAACTATCATTCTGATAGAATGATAGAAAAACTATTCTAAAACAATGATAGAAAAAATCATTCTATCAATACAATAATGAAAGTAAAAATTGTTCAATTTTTTAACTTGACTCAACTTGACTGAACTTGTCTGACTTGTAATTTGAGTTGACTTATTCAGAACTCAAATATAATTTATTATACTATATATAAATCTTTGCTAAATATGAAATATACTTTTTTAATATATATAATTAAATTTTTTAATAAATTTAACTTACTTATATTATAATAAACAAAATAAATAATAAAAATTTACAATATATGCTATATGTAAAAATTATTGAAATAACTGATCATTTAAGTTATTTGCTAGTCATAATCATTTGGTAAACACTGCTTTAAACTCTTATATTACTTTATGAATAACATTTATTTAGATATTATTTATCTGTTTAATTTATTTAAAATGTTAAATTATATTATAAAATAAAACTTAATAGGTATTTTTTATATAATAATTATTATAATATGCTCATAAAATAATTAAATGAAATTGATTAACAAAGTCAATTAAATGAAAAAAAAGTTATTTTAACATATAAATTATGATCTAAGAAAATCAAGTTTAGAGAATTTTTTATCAAAATTGAATTTTAATTGCATTTTAATATTTACATTTAGACTAAAATGTAATAAGTTATTAATTTTAGTCAAAAATTTCTTAAAACTTGATTTTCTTAGATCACATAATCAAACTTAGTAAAAAAAAAGGCTACTCTATACTACATAATATTTAACTTATTTTACTATAAACATAATATTAACACTTAAGTTTTTAGATATTTCATAATATTAAAATAATTAAAATATGTTAAGTTTTATATTTATAAAAATTTAATAAATCATATAATTTATAATAATATATATATTAATCATAGAATTGTCATAATATTTGAGATATATGGGTGGTATGCTATTAAAATTGAAGTACAGATCATATGATTTACTATGTTTCATACATCAATTTTAATAGCATACCACTTATATAGAAATTTATTAAGAAAATAGGGTTCTGAGAATTTTTATTGAAATTTTAATTTTTATTGTGTTTTAATCTATCATCAAAAATTAAAAAGCAATAAAAATTAAAATTTTAATAAAAAATTCTCAAAAGCCTTATTTTTCTAGCAAACCTCTCATATGATAAATAAAAAAATATCATTTTTTATATACTGATTTTTTTTTACATTTACAAAAATTGTAGAATAGTCTCTTTAAATATAAGATAACTAATTAAATAGTAAAAGTAATTGAAAATATAAATAAAATGTAAAATATATTAATAAATAGAAAAAATTTTAATATATTAATTTTCTGATCACTTTTTTAAATATTCAAAATATACAGAATAAACAGAATAATAGGATTATTCATATTTTATTAACTGTAATAATTGAAATAAGTAATAAAAAACTAATATTTAATATTTTGAAAAATTTATTTTATAAATTAATTTTTATTTTTATTAATTAATAATTTTTATATATTTTAAATCCATTTTCTATAAATATTTCTTGAAATTATTTCTAAATAATATTTATTAACTTTTTTTTGCTATATATATATTTATAAAATATATATTAATAGAAAAGTAATATTAATAAA